ACTGAAACAAAATTTTCACGGGCCCGTGCATGTTTACCAAGCATACCTGAGAGCTGGGTTCGAGCTCAATGAAACTTAGGTGGACTGGGTATATCCTCTTAAAATTACATTCCTTTAGCTTTTCAGGTACTTGAGTTATCAATTTACACGAAAAAAATTTTGGCGAGCCCGTATGGAAGTACCACGCTTACCCGGGGCTGAGTTTAAGCCAACTAATACCCGCTTGGGTGGAGAACATTACCCCACGATTCCAGCAATATGCATTTTTCGCATTGCATTGCTGTAAAAAACGCTTAAAAACGAAACGGAGCAGATAATCGACTTTCAAGCAGCTTTTTCAGAGAACAAACGGTGAAGCAGCGTGTTGGAGATCGAAGCGCATCATTATTGTATAAAAAGAAAGAGCACATGTTCTCAAAAGGCAAGCCATCAAAGCAAAAAAGCTACGGGGAAGTCAGCCTACGTGAACTACAAGTTTGCTTTTAAAGAAAAATATCAAATTAAGCGATGAAAAAGACCTGTGCAGAAATTGACAGTTTGCCCCATTGAAAGCCGAAATGCATTTTGAGGCTCAATTCAGATGCTCAATTTCAGTTTCGTGTGATATTTACAAAATCCCATATAAATACTACAGGAGCGATATACAACTGATAAGAAAGGGATTGTAAAACTTAAATTAATCGCCAGGTTTTTTGATTTGTCGACTATAATTGGTAATGTTAGGGATAACAGCAACAATAATCATGAAAAAAAAAAAAGCACCCATGCAATGGCAAAATTCAAAAGAAACCTTTGCTTTTTTGCGTAGAAATGGTCGTAGAAGGCCGCTGGTGTGTTTTTTGGAGAAGCTGTGCTGCGCCCTCGGCAACGAGGATGAATCACTGCTTTTGCTGCTGTCAAGTGTCGAGGACTTGTTATGCGACGATGATGAACCGGACAATGACAGATTAGTTGGATTATTGTTTTGTGGGTGGTCAGACGGTGTTGAAAACGGGGAACCCGTGTTAGGCGACTTCAGGCGTGCACCCCGCCAAACAGATACCACACTTTCTTCCTCTTCACCGGCGGTAAAATACTCGTCGGCGACGTTTGCGTAAGGCAAATTATGCGGTGAATGCTGCAACAGAAAACATCGTCATTTTCATTATTATTATTACTATTATTATTATCATTATTATTATTATCATTATTATTATTATCATTATTATTATTATCATTATTAT